ATGTGGGAATTCGAAACTCTGGACAACTGTAATGCCTATACGGTCAACTTGTTGGATACACTCATCACATTCCAATCCCTAGTCTCTAACTGGGAGAACTAAAGGGTCAGTCAGTGGCATGCTGCACCATGCTGTGGATTGACGTGGTCGAATCTTCCCAAAAGGTCGCTCTTGAACTGTGTCTGTTCTTAAGTTTTCTCCAACCATCCACATTTTTGTGGTCCTATCAGAGTCAGGCCGAAAGGATCGGAAAAGTACAGTTCAGTAATAAAGTCCTAGCAGAGGTGCACAGCACACTACTTTTTAAAAGTCCCAAATCTGAAATAACGTTATAGTGTACTACGATGGACGTTCAATCCATGACCTGTATCTGGTCTCTGGAGCAAGGCACCCCCAATGGTTGTAGTAACAAGCTAAATGGCATTTGAATAATAAACATGACTTTTAAGTGTATCACGACTAGTAAATCTAATGGCCACGACTATGAAATGCCTGCTGACTCAGTGGCTGGTCAATACTGGACACATTAGCATACTGACCTACGATGTGACAGGCTGGATGTTTTTTTCTTCTGTTGAACTCTGACAGACATGTGTGATATTTTAGTGCTTCTAGCACAGATACAGACGACTTAAAATATTTATATCGGTGCTCAGTTCTCTTTTTTAGGAAACCAGGCAGATAGTCGAGTGGTAAGGCTACCAGGCTTATAATATCATGAGTTTGCGGATTTGACAGTGCAAGGCGTTGCTCAGTGCGACCTTAAAAAGTAATTGGAAAAGGCACTTTACATAATATATATTTTTTAAAACTTTGGTCCTACCTCTCAAAAAGCGTTATACCATTTCAAGCGGCTCTAAGCCAATACACTTTTCTTTCTGTCAGACAGATCATTGATCAGTAGACAGATTGAAGCATAGGGATAGTGTGGGCGTTGTGGTTTGCTGATGTATTGCCGGACCGCTGGTGCTGAGGATGACCTTATCATATTGCATTGCATAACATGGGCGATCTGGTTTACTGTGTGTTGTACCCAGCTGTTTTTGGAGCCAGGTGCGGGGAAGTGAGAGACTGAGAGTGCATACACAGCAAGAGAACAGAAGAGTTGGGAAAAAATAATTTTCTGCTTTGTAGAAACAAAAAGGGTAATACAGAGAAAGAGAGAATGATTGAGGGCGAGAGAGAGAGAGAGAGAGAGAGAGAGAGAGAGAGAGAGAGAGAGAGAGAG